CACATGGCTAGCCAGTTTTCCCAACACCATTTATTAAACAGGGAATCCTTTCCCCATTGCTTGTTTTTCTCAAAGATCAGGTGGTTGTAGATGTGTGGCATTGCCTCTGAAGCCTCTGTTCTGTTCCATTGGTCTATATATCTGTTTTGGTACCAGTACCATGCTGTTTTGATTGCCGTAGCCTTGTAATATAGTTTGAAGTCAGGTAGTGTGATGCCTCCAGCTTTGTTCTTTTTGCTTAGAATTGACTTGGCTATGCGGGCTCTCTTTTGGTTCCATATGAAGTTTTAGGTAGTTTTTTCCAGTTCTGTGATGAAGGTCTTTGGCAGCTTGATGGGGACAGCGTTGAATCTATAAATTGCTTTGGGCAATATGGCCATTTTCATGATATTGATTCTTCCTAACCATGAACATGGAATGTTTCTCCATCTGTTTGTGTCCTCTCTTATTTCCTTGAGCAGTGGTTTGTAGTTCTCCTTGAAGAGGTCCTTTACATCCTTTGTTAGTTGTAATCCTAGGTATTTTATTCTCTTTGTAGCAATTGTGAATGGCAGTTCGTTCTTGATTTGGCTCTCTTTAAGTCTGTTTTTGTTGTATAGGAATGTTTGTGATTTTTGCACATTGATTTTGTATCCTGAAGTTGCTTATCAGTTGAAGGAGATTTTGGGCTGAGATGATGGGGTCGTCTAAATATACAATCATGTCGTCTGCAAATAGAGACAATTTGACTTCCTTGTTTCCCAATTGAATACCCTTTATTTCTTTTTCTTGCCTGATTGCTCTAGCTAGAACTTCCAATACTATATTGAATAGGAGTGGTGAGAGAGGGCATCCTTGTCTAGTGCCAGATTTCAAAGCTTCCAGCTTTTGTCCATTCAGTATGATATTGGCTGTGGGTAAGATTTTATTTTCATTTGTCTTGACTTACCATCTTCAGGCAGGTTCTTCCCTGAGTTACACTAGTTAGCAGGGGAACATGTCATCAGGCACTCTTGGCACCACCAATAACACAGAAGGGCTTCCTGCTTTGAAGGAGTCTACTAGAGCAGAGTCTTAATGTCAAACTTAAGAGTTTGAGGTGGTTAGAGGTGGCTAGGTTTCCTAGCTGTGAAGCCTTGTGAAAGTCCTGGGGTATTCACTTGAGACTACCCTCAGGGTAGGGGGAACAGGCTTACCCTGGGTTTAAAGGTGGGGAGAGTCTGGGGCATATGACCTGGCTGCAGGGGCCAGGTCCCACAGGCAGAGGAGCCACAGTTGCCAGTAGTCATTGGTGAGTATAAAGCTAACTGCAGTAAAAGGCTTTTTGGTTTCCTTCCCTTAGCTAGTTTGACGGGCAGGTTTAATAAAGGAATCCATGGTTTCATTCCCTTCATAGCAGGTTTCAAATAGTTTTAGCATTCACTAGCTCCACCACCAACTAGTTAGTTCTTGGGAAATTTCCTCATCTGTAAAATGAGGACAACCCCCCTACCTCTCAGGGTTATTGTGAAGATGAACATAGTAACATTCGTAAAGTAGTTAGTGTGGTACCTGACACACAGTAGGCCCTTCTTTATCTAATGGGAACATGGATCCCAGGTGGGGAAGCTACATTACGCCATTCTGTGGGAGCTCTAGTTGACTTATCACAAAATATGCCTAATTCTCATATATATAAGGGTACTGACGTTACTGCCTTTGAAAAACGAGGCTAACTAGCTTTTGGGGCTTGCTGTTAAGTAACTTATAAGCACATGCATTTTTTGGAGGACATGTAAGATTGGAGCCTGTATTAGCTGACAGGATAAGAGCCACACCATTAGCACTTGAAGACTTGCAGGATCTAGGACAACTGTTCATAATATGGAACTTTAGTTTTTGAGCTAGAAGAAACAGCGCAGATTTATTTCAACTACTCATTCTACAGATTATCCTGGGACGTTAAGTGACCCTGCTCAGGGTCACAGAACGTTGCAATATTTAGGGTTCCTCTGAGCGGGCCTTGTTTTCAGCCATTCCATTCTTTCTGAATCTTGCCCTTTTTTCTCTGTCAATAAAGCACTTCCTCTTTTACCCTTTTTATTTTATATATACATATACAAAATGAGGAGAAATTCATTAACACCATTTTGTGGCTCCATAATCTTGCTTAGAGAAGGATTCTGGAAGAGCAGAAATGTAAGGTAAATTGGAAGAGTCAGAATGTAGGTTGGTGAGACAGAAGCAGCGGCACTCCTCTCTGCTCCCATCTGTCATTCCCAGATACTCTAAAAGGTTATACTACTTACAGGTTCACTATAAGCATTATTCCAACAACCTGATGATTTTAGCTGATTGGCAGTTTAGTACCTATGCTTATATTCCAATTCTATGTTTTAACAGTCAGGAATCTTTTCTTGCTGTCTTAGGCACGTCTTAGCCAGTGAAAATGATTTTTTCCCCCGTATCAGAAACTTACTCAAAGAAGACAATCAGCCCTCTTTTTAAAAAGTCTGTGAAACATAAACTTTAGATAAATGACAGAGTATTTGTTTTATACAGGGAGGTTTCCTTTCTGTTCTTAAAAAAAAAAAAAAAAAAAAAAAAAAAAAAAAAAAAAGCACATCCAAACTCTGCTAGCAGAGAAAGTGGCAAATAATTTCAGAATGGTATGGGAGAGCAGACTCTCATTCTTCAACATTCAGAGTTCCTGCTACAGTTGCTGAGAGGTAAGGACCCCTCACAGACAAGATACCTATTCCAGGAGAGCTTGACTCCTCAACTCCCCCTAGCAGAGGAACAGTTTCAGAAGAATATACACGAAGTATATAGTCTGTCCCCCAACTGGTTACTCTGAGTTCCTGCTACTTCTGCTGAGAGCGCTAAGGACCCATCACAGACAAAATCCCTATTACGGGATAGATTGACTCCCTATTTCCCATCTCCCTTCCTTAATAGGGAGGAAGACAAATGGTGGTATTCCACTCTAATTGCAAAAGAGGCATTTTCTAGTGGCTCACAGACCTATAATCCCAGCACTTTGGGAGGCCAAAGCAAACTTGAGGCCAGGAGTTTGAGACCAACCAGCCTGGGTAACAAAGCAAGGGTCCTCCTCTAAAAAAAAAAAAAAAAAAAATTAAAGAAATTTTTTTTTTTAAATTAGCCAGGCATTGTGGTATGCACCTGTAGCCCTAACTACTCAGGAAGCTGACACAGGCGGATCGCTTGAGCCTAGGAGTTAGAGGCTATACTGAGTTATAATTGTCTCACTGTACTCCAGCCTGGGTGACAGAATGAGACTCTAATAAAAAAGAAAAAAAAATTTTAAAGAGGTATTTTTCCTATTGAAACAATGTTAAAAATAATGGGTAAATTTCCCTAAACTATGAATTAGATAAGTTACTGAGAGCTGGTCTGAAAACCTAATAGCCATTTTAAGCTTGTTTTCTATGAAAAACACATTTGTAGGTCCAAAAATTGGCTGACCACCAAGTTTTTGAAATATATTGTCATAGATTGGGAAATGGAGGGATATTTTTTAAATTTTGATTTACAAATTCTTTCAAGTATGCATTAAGTAACAAACATTTTTTGAGTTCCTGATTGTTGCATCAACAATCACAATACCTGTACTAACATATTACTAAAATCTCAAACATTATTTGGAGGTTCATCATGTTACTTGCTTTATTTTTGTATATATTTAAAATTTTTCATAAAATAATTTTTTTAAAACCCTTCAAACATAAATTCCACAAATCCCCAAAGGATCAACTTAAGCTGAAATTAGGTGGCAATGTAAAGAATCTCGAATAAAAAGAAAAATCTTGAATTTTGAATTGCACCCACAATATAGACAGCAACCCAACTATCAAAATGTAGAAAACATTTGAAATAATGCATCTATTTTGGATTTTCCAAAATCTCACATAACTGTTGTTCATAATTAAGAATGCCTTTCAAATGCTTACACGACATTAAAAATCAATATATACCACAAATAAAGTGGAATTGAGGCCCATCTTACTAAATTTGGCACAAATGAAAGATCTCTATTAAGTCTCTGAAGAGATCATTTAATTTTAGCTCTTACTTTATTTTAATCTCAACTCTGATAATTTATAACTTAATTCAATTACCAATTAGTACTTTCAGAACCATACAAGCAAAATATATATTACCATTAATTTTTCAAATACAATGTCTCAACACTATTTTTATATATTTCCATTTTATTTTAAAGTATCTAAAAATCCATTGCAATTAATATAGAAAGGAAAATTCATCCTTTTAAGTATCTCTTTTTAGTATATTTATCTCTTTAAGATGTAGTTTGATAAAAGTCTACTGGGTTTCCTAAGATATAATTTTATTAAATTTAGAGTTGAAACTTTTACTCTTTAGAAACCTTCAGTTAACTAATAAATTTTCTATAACGTACTTTCATTTATTTTATAAACAAAATATTTTTAAAACCCACAATTGCATGATATAAAAGAAAGTAATAATTAAGTAGACAAAATAATAAATGAAATATGATATGCCTTCTGCTAAGTGTCTATGAGTTTTACAGAATAATCATTACAACAGATGTCCTTAGAGAACAAAGGAGAATGAGAAAATATAAAAGTAGGGGTGGCATGGAAGATATTTTGTTATCTTCTACTGTGTGGTCTTTCACTGCATTATTCTTTAAACAGAAAAAAAGGCCTCCTCAAGGGCAAGTCCTGCTTCAAATGTCTCCTTCCCCTCCTGACTACAGAATAATGTGTTTGTGTAGTATATGATTACACCAGACAAGACTGTGAACACATGTGATTTACTCAATGATCCTATTCTGCTTCCTTTTAAAGATAAAGAATGCATTTAAGTCGATTGTGTATGTGACTGTGGTAATTCCTTAGAAGGCTCCATTCAAACAGAGAACAATATTACCTTATTTTAAAACTTAACAGCATAGCCATTTTCCTGGTCTTCATTTTCCTTCAAGACAACAACATTAATACTTTCATTTATTTTAGAATAGACAACCATAACACGAGTGATTATTTTAAAATAGTTTTAATTTTTCTTTGTATAAGCAAGATGCCCCCATAAAATATTCACTTTTCAAAAATCTTTATATGCAAATAACTTACAAAAATCTGTGCAAAATAAAAGAAACAACTAAGGAACAAGACAGCCACCACCACCACTACCACAGATCCTAATAGCAGGCCAGATCAAGTGCAGATCTCCTGAAAACAAGCTGCTTACATTCCCAGAACCAAACCCCCTGGGTGGAATCTTGTCTTCTGTAACTCGCTGGGTGGTAGAGCCCATAGGAATTACTCAAACTGACAATCCCAAAGCATGGTCACCTACAGGGAAATGAGACAGATATGACTTGTGCATGATAGTTATTTTCTTGTAATAACAGTAAAGAAAACAACTTTAAATAGTAAAAGTTGTGTGAGCTTCAATTTCAACAGGTGGATAATTCTGTTTGTTTTTACCAAATACAGCATTTGTTAGCTAAGGAGGAAAATATATAATGTATACTTGCCATTTTTTCTTTAAAGTAATATTCTCTAAGGCACTCATATATAGTGATTATAGATACACTTAAGTGATATTTAAAATAATAAAAATAGCAAACACTTGAGGACTTACTATGTACCATACATACTCTTCCAGGTATTTGATATGGTTTATTTCATTTAATCCTCACAATAACCTTATAAGGTAAGAATGATTTTTCTTTTTTTCTTTCTTTTTTTTTTGTTTGAGATGGAGTCTTGCTCTGTCATCCAGGCTGGAGTATAGTGGCGTAATCTTGGCTCACTGCAACCTCCGCCTCCCAGGTTCAAGAGATTCTCCTGCCTCAGCCTCCTGAGTATCTGGAATTACAGGCCCACATCACCATGCCTGGCTAATTTTTGTATTTTTAGTGGAGACGGGGTTTCATCATGTTGGCCAGGCCAGTCTCGAACTCCTGACCTCAAGTGATCCACCTGCCTCAGCCTCCCAAAGTGCTGGGATTACAGACATGAGCCAACGAGCCCCAAGAACCATTATTATTACTATTTTTCAAATAAAGATCTAAGACACAAAGAAATTAAATTACTTGGCCAAGATCACACACCCAGAATTCAAAACCGAGTATCCTGTCTCCAGAGCTCTTCCTTTTAATTTAGTAAAAATAAATGTGAAATTGGATTTTTAACCCCATTATCATTGATAATTATTCCTCCCAAGATTGTACATTCTGAGTTTCTTCCCTGTGAACTGCCACCTCTTTGACGCATTGTGACTGCCAGACTCTCAGTCCCTTCCAATTCATCTTCTGGTTTCACTTGCTTTCCTGTACAGCCTGGGCTCTAGTCATTTTAATTATGCCCAAATCTCCTGCTCAGGACTCACTAGCTAGAGTCAAACCAAAGTGGTCCCTTGAACCAGCAATCTCTGCTATTACTCTTCTTCGTAGTGATTTAATCCATGAAAAGTCATGCTGCTTGCTTTTAAGTGAGTTCACTACTGCTCAGCAATCCTTTCACTGACACTATGCAGCGGTTTTGAACTTTTTCTAAGACATCCCCAAATATGCCCATCTATCCCTTTATAGATTACCTTATCATGGATTTATTTAAAATCCATCCAAAGTAGGGTTGCCAAATAAAATAGAGGATGTCCAGTTAAATCTGAATTTAAAATAATCAAGGAAAGTTTTAGTTTAAGTATGTCCCAAATATTACATTATAGAAATATGTAAATAGTATTTAAGATAATGAAAAATAGCAAAGGTACTGCGCCTAGTATTGCATGAGACATACGTACTAAAAATTATTGTTTATCTAAAATTCAAATTAAACTGCTTTGGATTTTGTTAAATTCAATCCAATCAAATTCCCTTCTTTCCATTACCAGAGGTATCCTTTCTGTTTTCAAAGGTTAATTCTATGAACTTTTGTCTTTCTCCTTACTTCTCTTTCTTTCTCCTTACTTCTCTTTCTTCCTCATTCTACATATTCCTTCTCTTATACTTTCAAGCATGTTCAGGTAATCTCTACTGTGATGTATTTTGTTCTGAGAGAGTCTTCCTTTGCTGTCTCCCAGGCTGGAGTGCAATGATACAATCATAGCTCACTGAAGCTTCAACTTCCTGAGTTCAAGCAATCCTCTTGCCTCAGCCTCTCTAGTAGCTGGGACTACAAGCACATGCCATCCCACCTGGCTAATTAAAAAAATTTTTTGTAGAGACAGGGTCTCCCTATGTTGCCCAGGCTGGTCTTGAACTCCTGGGCTCAATGGAGCTTCCCTCTTTGGTCTCCCAAAATGCTGGGATTATAGGCAACAGCTGCCACTCCTGGCCTCCTACTGTGGTATTAAGGGTCTCAATTCTTCATCTCTCTATGAACACATGCCCTTTGTTATGTCACTTTCCAAGTTCTCTAAAGAGGATAATTCTGTTTTTCTGCTCCTTGAATATGGGCTTAGCCACATAAATTGCTTTGGTCGCTAGAACGAGGCAGAAGTGCCAGTGTCAGTTTAATAGAGTCCATGTGTCAAGAGACTTAGTATGTTTCTGTTTGCCCTCTTAAACACGTCTTCCATCTCCATGAGAAAGATATGCCTAAATGCGCGGGACAGTCCTAGGAGGAGGATGATAGATAAGTGTCCAGCCTAGAGCAAGCTCCCAGTATGTCTGCAGATGTATGAGCAAGCCCAGCTGAGATTAGCTAACCCTCAGACATGTTAGCTATAATAATTGTCTTAAGCCATTTTATTTTAGAGTGTTTGTTATATAGCAAAAGCTAAACGAAGCATCTACCCTGAAAAACCTCATCCTGACGATACTACTCCAATTTCCTTTCTTATATTTCCAAACTGCTGCAAAAAGTATCCTTTGGTTTTTGCTTGTATGCCTTTTCCATTTATTCTTGTTATCTGTACCACTTCTCTTTTAACTGACATCAAAATCCCCCTAATGGTCAGTCCTATAGCTTTGGCACTATCCTCATCCACCCTGGCCTCTGTACAGCACCTGACACTATAGGTCACTTCATGCCACTGTTAAGTTTCTCCCTCTTTTATTCTACTCCACTAGTTTTTATTTCTTTGGTTGCTCCATTTACTTCAAGGGCTCATCTTCTCTCTTCCCCTCTTCTGGGAGCTTATTAATGATCTCAAGAGTGACTGTTATATATCTGACATACACACATCTTTATTTCTATTCCTAATCTCTATTTTAAGCTCTAGTTCAGTTGGTCCTCAAACTACAATGTGCATCAGAATCACTCGGATGGTGATTCTGATGTCACTGCACCTCATTTAATACATGTAATTCAATCTCTACAACAACACTATGAGGTAGGTACTAGTATTATTATCTGTTTATTATAGACAGAAAAAATGAGGCACAGAAAGTAATTTGCCCAAATTATGGATCAGTTAAGTAGGGAAATTGGGCTGCAGAGTTTAAAGTCTTAGCAGAATACTCTACTATCATTCAATACATTACCTATAATACCAATAGTCTTCTTCACTATTCCCCACTCATATAGTGCTGTTTTCCCTGCTACCACAGGGGAACAAAGGAGTATGTTTTTAGAAAAATCTTTGGGAACAAGGGGGAAGCTGGGAAAGTCAAGAATGAAAAAACTCAAAGCTCCTGGGCCTGAGGCCTCTGGCCCTGAATTACAACTAGAGATTACTTTGATTTATAAAAGCCTCTTTAAATAGGGAACTATGCCTAGGAGTCATTTTCCTTCAGTTATCATTTCATCCCATAATGTCTAAGACATGTTCTTTTTGACTGAATATTTATTTTAAAAAATATTAGAAATGTACCTTACCAGATAAACTAGACCCAAAACTGTAAAGTAAAATATGAAAGGACAAAAGGTACATTAGAGTCAGACAGAGGAAATGATAATCAAATGATTCAGCCTATTGTTAATTTTGGGTACGCAAAGGAGAATTAGAACACTATACTTTGGCATACAGGGTATAAGGTTCAGATAGCAGAGATTAATACATAACACAGTATAACCTTTTCTTCCCAACAGTATTAGATGGGCTGCCTACTAGGGTGATGTATTAGATGGCTGCCTACTAGGGTGATGAATTTACTCAGGATGAGGGCAGGAATTCAGTGAAGGAGGAAGACTGTAAGCCAAGTGTCAGTCTTAAATTAAGTCCTGAAAGACTACCTATATGCTAAAAACAGGGGAGAAGATATTCTAGAATGAGGATCCTTCCCCTTTCTCTATGAGCTTTCAGTCTAAAAACATTTCATACAAATGCAGAAGAAGCTGCTCAAGAAAAATGAGTAATGTTTTCCTTCATTCATAAAACGAATCTTTGTACTACTTTGCAGACTTGGCAAGAACCTCTGGTTCACATTTTCATCCTAAGGCTAGATTTTCCCTGCTAAAGAGGAATGGAGAATGAAATTACCTGCTAATTCAAGCAAGAAAAATATCAGCTCTTGTTCTCATACATTTGTGAAAATAAATGTTTTAAAAATAAATTACAACTAGATTACCCCAGTTCTGATTTGAAAACATCTGGTGAGACCACTATGTATAGTTTCTCACTACGTATTTTGTTAAGTATAAAAACACACATAGAAGGCCGGGCGCGGTGGCTCAAGCCTGTAATCCCAGCACTCTGGGAGGCCGAGGCGGGTGGATCATGAGGTCAAGAGATTGAGACCATCCTAGTCAACATGGTGAAACCCCGTCTCTACTAAAAAAATACAAAAAATTAGCTGGGCATGGTGGCGCGTGCCTGTAATCCCAGCTACTCAGGAGGCTGAGGCAGGAGAATTGCCTGAACCCAGGAGGTGGAGGTTGCGGTGAGCCGAGATCGCGCCATTGCACTCCAGCCTGGGTAACAAGAGCGAAACTCCATCTCAAAAAAAAAAAAAACCACACACACACATAGAAACAAAAGAAAAAAACCCACACATATACAAAGGTTTTTAAAAACTATCTTAAAAGAACAGAGTAGCATGCTATTTCCTGACAGGCTGACCTTTACACAAAGAATGTCCACTTTCAACCAAGCTGAAAATTACTCTTACTGATGGTTTCAGAATATCACTGTCTACCTTAGAAAGTGGAATGTTTGTCCAAGTCATAAATAAGTGGCCAGACAGACACTATTTGGTAATCAAATCATCATTGTAGAGGGCCAGAGAAAATTGTTTCTGCAGTACCAACCATGTATCTGGTACTGTGCAAAACGAAAAAGGAAATGGGCAGGCAGGGCATGGTGGTTCCTGCCTGTCATCCCAGCACTTTGGGAGGCCCAGCTGGGAGGATCCCTTGAGCCTGGGAGTTTAAGACCAGCCTGGAAAACGTTGGGAAACCCTACA